AATGTAACAGGGAAAAAAAATCATAGTCTTTGCTCTGGCAGAAATAGGCCATTATACAGCCTAAATATTAATTAGAATAAACACTGTTTTGATTTTTATTTCACAATACCTGATGGTTTTCTGCCCAAGCATCAGTCACATTGCACACATTTGCTTTACGGTGTATGATTGTAACTAAATCCACCTCATTTAATCATTCCAATAAATCTGCACCTCAGTAGAAACCACTAAATGAGATGTTAATAGCACACTAAATATACCTGTTAGACAGATTGTACATGTAAAATATGAAAGTACAGTGAACATTATTTGCACTTGATTAAGTGCTAGGCTTCTGTTCATTCTCCACGAGAAAGATTAGCAAACATACCTCGTCCATGTTTCTGAGGAACTTCTCTTTAGCATCTGAATATGTTCAAGGCCACTTCTATCTTTCTGACAGTATATAAAGATGTCTGTGGGTAGAATTTATGCTTTAAAACAAACATTTTCAACAAAATACCAAGAGTCAGGACAAGGTATGTATACCAACTACATCTAAATCTCCTTGTACAAAGGAAAACAACTAATTGCAACAAAACCTGGGTGGCAACTTGCACATTGTTCCTGGTAAAGTATGATGGGTGGGGGCTTATTTAAGGCATTTCATCCCAAATGCTATCAATTACTTTAAGAAACCTTATGATGCTTCCTTGGTTCTTTTGTTTGGCTTCAGTCTGTGGCACAGGACACAAGCTCTGCACTAAACTCTGCTAAGCTGTAGGATGCACATCCCACAGCAAGTGTTCCCTGCCTGCCCTCTCACTGAGCCTCAGGAGACTGTGGGGCACAAAGTCCTCTGTGTTTTACACAAATGCACACATTACTTCAACATGGCACTGCCACAGCATGTGGTGCAAGGCTGCCAAGCAGAACTGGAACTTAGCAGGACAAAAAGCAGAGAATGACATTTTCCCCTGATAGATTTTCCAGCCTCCCAGATGCCCTGTCAAGATTACACAGAGAAACACTGCAACAAAACACAGAACAAGAGCCTCTAAGGTCTAAAAATGGTATTTATATCTGTATTCACTAGCCCTGGCTCTTCAGCTGAGGCCATGACAGTGAGTTTTACTCATTTTATAGGTGCCAGTGTTTTATGTTCACACACACAGCCCTATCCATGGGTGAAGAGTTATTCACAAACCTGGTTGTTCCAGGAACCCCAAACTGGAAACTGAAACTTCCCTGCTGCCACAAAGCACTGACTCCCCCAAGGTCCATCCTGACAGGTATACTTCAAAGCACCATGCTGTACCAGGTAGGCACCATTTGTCCGCCACAGTTCTTTTTTAACTGGAGCACTCAGTTGCTAAACCAATTTTTATCACTTTTCCCTTCCACTTGACATGCAGCCTTAATGCTGCACTATTACATCCTATCCTGAAGTTTAGTGAAATTGCTCCAATTGTCCTTATTCTACCCCCATGCATGAATTCTATACTTCATTCAGAGAATTCAAGTCAAAGGGCATGACATGTCTTCCACTACCCACCTATAACATTTTCTATGTCCCAAATCACTCTTCTTTTTATTTTTTCCCAAGTTTCCTTCACAGAAAAGAGCCATTTAACAAATCTGTAGAATCAGAATCTCTCTCTTTTCAAGTAGTTATACCTCTGTCCTCTGCTTTTTATGCTGTAATTTCTTCCAGAATGGATCTCTGCTTTACTTACCATTTTCTAAAGAAATCCTGGTATTTAATCTACCTGATTCTGGGTCCATTGCTCTGTCCAGTTTACTGATGGTGATGGCACTGCATTGTCCTGCCTTGTCATTTTAGCTCATCTCAGCTTCATTCTGCTCTCAGCTATTACCCAAATTTCACTTCTGCCTGAGATGCTAAAGCTTGCTTCTTAAAGTGAAATTGAAAGTATCCACAGGAAATCTTGTTTGTCTCTAGTTTATTGTCTCACTGTCTACATATAAATAACTCTGTAGAGTTTTTATTGCATTCATCTCCACTTCTCTCTTTCCATTTTCAGTGTCATTTAAACTATGGCAGTGTCTCTTTTAATGCTGAAACCCCTTCAGGTCTTGGTCTGTGCCCTTTCTGCACCATCCTCCTTGACCATTTCCCCATCTTTCACACAATTTGGTCTTTAATTAAACAGCCCAGTGTCCTCCATTTACAGTAATGCAGTTCCTTATGCACAAGATCTTTTGCTAGTCAAGATGTGTGATTGTCTGATTATACAGGTTTGGGAGTTTTTATATATTCTATTTCCTCTTAAATATTTGGGGTTTGTTTGGTTTGTTGGGGTTTTTTTTCTTTCCCCATAAATCCCAGCAATCATTATATTCATGTCCATATTATTTCTGCTCCTTTTTATTTCTCTGTGCTTTTCACAAAAATGGCAAACAACACAAATTCCTGCCAGAGTAATTGAGTTGTATTTGCCAGTAGCCCACAATACAATTTAATTCAACTACATATGTATTCTTTTCTAAAACAAATATAACAGTATCCTGGTTTTTTTATAAAGACTATCAGCGTCTTATTCACTCAATCCAAAGAGCATCATTAATCTGATTTTACTTTTTATAACACTGCTAAAATAAATTGTTGAAATGGAATGCAAAATCATGCACAAAGTCAGTCCTTTTCTCTCATCATAAAACCATCATTTTTATTATTAATCAGATTTCCTACTGAACCACAGAGATCTATTATTTCAGCAGTAGTTGGAACCACTGTCCTGTGTGTGTGCACATCTCCAACATGTAAACATTTATAAAGCACTTGCAGATGTCTCAAGGAGAATAGAAACATTTATCTTATCTTCAGGTGGTATTACAGCAAACATATCACCTTGACTTTTATCTATGTTTTTCCAATCTGTGTTGCCTGAAGATAAAGCCCTAAAATACTACAAGCCAACAGCAGTTTATAGCTATCCTGACATGCTCACACCTTTCTCCTTGTGCCAGCATTTGTGCAAGGAAACCCTGTGGCAGGTGAGGGATGACATATCACTGGTGAGCTCAGTAAAAAAGAGGCAGAAGTGGTTTCTCTGCTCTCATGGGCAAAATGGGAACATTTCTTCAATTAGCATCCAACTTGTGAAAACCTCATAGAACCACAGAACCACAGGCTCAGAAAAATCAAACCCACTACTTCATATTGTGTGGTTTATAATTCACGAAAATGCAGATGATTCTAATAGTAACTCGTTAGCAGTAATGCCTATTCCATGAAGTGCTGGATTATTCTTGTCCTTAGTGACTTCAGTAATTATTAGGCTGCAAACCCCTTTCTATAATCTCCAGTTGTCTTCCCAATTTATGCTTCCTAGTCAGAATGTAAGAACACAAATCCCTGTATTTCCATGCATAGCTATCTCAAAAAGGCAACTGTAACTACACTTGAATGTGCAATTCAAGGCATACTAAACATATATACATATGCAATATTTCTATATACAAAAATATATATTTTAGTAGCTCAGGTTTCAATAGAACTTTGAGAGTAAAAACATTATCCCATTTCTCTAGTGCCATTTCATTACTACATTACTGGATTAATAAATGTGCAGTAGGAGTTTCACTTTGAGTTTTTGGCACATTGAAGGTATGCAAATGAAGAAAACCAGCGTGAAAACATAGATTTTATGAACTAATCCAAACATCCCAATTTCTAAGAAACATAATTAATAAAATAATGTAATAATAATAATAATAATAATAATAATAATAATAATAATAATAATAATAATAATAATAATAATAATAATAATACAGTCAGGCTATTCAGTACCCAGGCTTCCCTGAAACTCAGGTTGTCTGTGCTGCAGTTCATATTCACTGTAAACCAGGAGTACAGTGAGTTTCTCCCTGGTATCACCTGTTGATCTTCAATACAGACAGGCCAAGGTTTTTTAACTTGCCCAACACTTCCAGTACATTTTTCTATTCTTTATTCAATCCTTCACTAACCATTTTAGTTTTAAGTGCAGGGATGTTCTGGCATTGGTGGGAAGTACCCAGATAAAAGTCATATCAAAACCATTCTGATGGTTGCTAATTCAGCAGCTGACAGGAGAATCTTGGTGAAGGACTTCAGCTTGAAACAGCAATAACATCAAAGTTCATTGTCCTTTAAGGAATTGTTTGGCCCATTTACAAGAGTCTGAAAAAATAATATTCAGCCTCTTGTGCCCAAAATTGTACAGAACATTTTATCCAGTACATACCTCAGTTTCAATTGTTGTCATTAAAAAAAAAAATTAAAATTTAGTTGTCTATTACTGTAATTCTGTTCAGGAAGTATGAAAACCCAGAAAAGATAAAAACTAGCTTTTTCTGAGACAAATATAATTGATAAATGCATGAGTTACAACTCAGTAATACTTCAAGACAGAGCCCTCATTAATCCAGCCCTCCTTTGTCCTTTCATGAGATATTTGCTTCTCTCTCTACCGAAAGAAAAACATAAAACCAATCCTAAATAAAGGACGTGCCATAAATGAATACTTCACAAAAAGCATGGCTGGCTATCATTATTTCTTGTTTACAAAACTAAGAAATCTTCAAAATACACATTTAAAGATTTATATGTTGAAAAAATTCATGATTCTGATGCAACTAGTCAAATAACAGCCACATGATGCTAGCATAAAATACAATTATCCTAATTTAAAATGCATCTCATTAAAACTTAAAAGCCAAAGGTGACAGCACATAGCATACACATTTTATAAAACATGAACACCACTCAAAAGCTGCATACTGGCTCAAATGACAAATATAAAGTTCTTTTCCCCTTCCATTCCAAAAATATTTCCTTTTTCCTAAGAACTCATGCACAAACCAACTCCCATCATTGGCCAGAAACGTCTGACAGCACAGCACTGCAAAGCGCAGCCCTGCTCAGTTCCCAGAGCGCAGGTGAGTGGCAGCAGTGTGATATACGGCAAATAACCAACTGGCAGGTGTGTGCTGTCCCACGGGCACGCACTCACCTCGGCACACGGTCCCGTTGCCCACATAGCCGGGCTTGCAGGTGCAGCTGTGGCCCCTGATGGTGTTGGTGCAGATTGCATTCTCATCACACCTGTGCTGCCCACTGCCACACTCATCGTGCTCTAAGCGGGGAGGGGAAAAGGAAAAAAAAAAACTATTTACAAGATGCATTTACAACAATTTACAAGATTTATTTATGTTTTATATTTTATGATTTATGTTTTATTTTTTTTTATGTTTTATGTGAAAAACGCCAATCACTTGTTTTTAAAATTTTAAAAGTTTAATAGTAATAAAATGGTTATAAAAATAGTAATACAATTAGACTAATAATAATTTGGACAATTTGAATCAGGACAATATGAGACAATAGAGACAAAGAGTTATGGATGGTCCGAGTACCTTTTCTGGGGAGCACGAGGCTGAAAAAGGACCCACGTTAACAAAGGATTAACCATTAAAAACAGTAACCTGTTGCATATGCATACACCTCATCCATGATGCATAAATTCCATTCAAACACAGAATTCTGTCTGAGCACCCTCAACTTCTTCCTCTGAATCCTGACAGCGCCTTTAAGGCAGGAAGAAGTTCATTTCTTCTGATTAGGGAGCAATAAATTCTCTTTCTCTGAAAGATTCAGGTGTCCTGTGGCTGCTATCTCAGTGCGAGTCCTTTCTTTAAAAAAAGTATCTTACATAGCATAGTTTCTACTTTAACATTTTTTAGAACCTAAAACTATATTTAACACACTACTTAAGAGAATTAATACAGCATAACTTTCTAATGTAACACATATAATATTCATTTTAATACTTGCAAAAAGCCAATCATAAAATACATGCATTTTTCACATTTTATGTTTTATGGTTTTCTTTTCGTGAGCTTTGCAGTGAGCTGATGTGGCATTTGGAAAGCAATGGGAGAAGCAGGATGCTGCAGTGGCTGAGTGCTGGAGGCTTGGCATGGGAGTCAGCTATGGGCTTGCTCCTGTTCAGAAATCCAGTATGAGCATGGCAACAGGAGATTATTTAGGGTTAAAAACAGGAAAAAAAAAGAATGGGTGAGGAGGCAAAGTAGGGCTGTGACAAAAAGCTATGAAGAAGATTATCAGGGAAGAATATCTGCTGTGAAGATTAACCTTTACATCACTGTCCATCAGCAGCAGCAATGATCATAAATACAAGCTAAGTAACACAAGAGGGGCCCTACCAGGCTGCCCTTTAACTACACAGTTCAGCTGTCACAACTGCTTGCTCTAATTCATGTTGAACTGACTCTTGCTCTAATAGCATGTAGTAACATTTCACATTTGTACAGCACCAATCCTACCATGGAGCCTCAAAGGGGCTCCCAGACAAACAGGCCACATTTTGCTTTCATCCAGCAACTCCAGCTGCTGCCCAGAGCCAAATCTGCCGCAGTTCCTGCACTTCACTCTCCTGCTGCCTTTTTGTTCTTGTAGAGCACCAGTTAGAGGTGATGAGCTACCTGACCCCAAAGCTTTCTGCTTCTTCCTGCAATTACAAGGAGCTTCCCTCATATAGGATTGCACAAAGAAAGTCTCAATATTTTACACTTTTGCACCGGTGCCTTTACAGTTTTCTTCAGTGGAGCCAAAAGAATGTAATGAATTATCTTAAAACCACCCAACAGATAACTGATGTTAAAAAAATCAGAATTTGGAACCCTTCTTTGGAGCCTTATGCAGCTGCAATCATCAGGCTGATATCCATATGCTGAGAGGTAAAAGCTGTGCTTTCATGGAACTGGGATTTGCTTAAGCTTTTTACCAGTGCATCAAGGTGTTCGAAGGACTAGAGACTAAGTGTGGCCTTCTACAGATCACAGGGAGGCAGTGCCTCTAAAACACGAGCAAATACTCATTTTTGCAGCCTAAACGAAGCCCTTTGGAAGAGTCTCTCCATTGAGAACAGCAGCATCACAGGCTCTGACAGGCTGCAATTAACCTCTGCAATGCTCTCACTCTGCCACAGCCAAGAACAACAGCCAATTTCAAGATCATTCAAGACATGTAAGATTTGAATAGTGAATTCTAAAGAATCCACTAAACCAAATACTTCTGGAGCACTGTTGATAACTATTTGCAGAACATATATCCAACATGTTTTCCATTTTTCAAATACATTTGACAGCAAAATGATATGGATTGCAAGTATTTTCTCTTAAATAGCATTAAAGCAATATATCAGCCTCTCACTCTCTGCTTTTAGCAAGAAACACACACACTCTCATATGTGCCTGGCTTCAGCTGATAAATTCATGCTTGTATTTATACTTGTTAGTTTATGCTGGTCCCTAGCTCTGCTTAGTAATTCACTGCAGCTTCTTGCCAGTTTTCAGAGGCCTTACATATTCAGAATGCAGGGTTCTTGAAAGGCTGCCTGTTCTCCCCTTCATCTTTAAGGAAGCTGTACCACAGGCTGATTCTTTGCTGCTTTGGTCTCATGGTGCTCAGGCTGCTGGGTCAGACACAAAAGGATCAAGCCATCCTCCAAGGAGGCATTCCACAGCAGCTGAGGCTGAATTATGCTTTCTTTGAAAAGAGACACCCTCTCCATAATCTCTCCCTCCTCTTCCTACTTCTAATTGCCCTGAGCTTTCCTGTGTCAGTGTTCTCTGTAATGAGCATGCCTTTGCAACAGGCCCATGTGTGTACACAAGATCACTCCTACTCCAGCAATTGCCAAAATTAGTCTATTACCTTCTCAGCACTTCAGGTATAAATAAAGACCTCACAGGGTACCAGATGTGTGTTTTTCCAAAGTACACAGTAGAGAGGATAAGTCTGCTATGTTGTTCTAGGACTCTGACAATGTAAATCACTATTTAGCATTTCTGCAGATACACAGATGCTGGAAATGTCAAAAGATTGAGCACTGGCAGAGCAGCTAAACCACAGTAATATTTTGTAAACAGAGGTCAGTTTTATCCAAGCTGATAAAATTTAGAGTCAGCAACAAATCTGAACACAAGAACCTGCCCTTCATGAGACATCCCAGCACTGCTAGCACAAGGAGGACTAAGGAAACTTCATCTGCATGAGAATCCCAAGATTTCTTAGCAGCAATATGGCTGCAGGGATGGGAACTTCAAATGAAGTTTTCCCTGGAGTAGAGATGTCTATAGCTGATGGTGCTACAGGCCTAATAAGAATGAGAAAGCATTGATTTCCTGCCAAGGTACAAAACTCTTTTCATCCAGATGAAAAATCCTTAAGAATCGCCCAGTACTAAGTTTTCCTGGGTTTTATGTGCCCTCACAGGAGCTCATCCTTTGGAACACTTGTGTGTTCACAATGGGAAGGGAGCATGGAAATGCTCATGCTCTATTAAACTCAAATAAAATTGTGACTCATTTGCAAAGAATATTGCTTTCATACACACACTGCTTTCCAAAAATCCCCATTCAAGCACATCAAACAGAGCCTGCTTTTGCTTTAATGTTACAGTAAATACTGCCCAGACACCAAACAAAACTGGCAGAGAAGGACCCTGCCCAGCAGGAGAAAGGAGTCACAAACAGCATCATTCCAAAGCACCAAAGGGGGCAGAGGCAAGACAAAAAGCCCAAAGTTGTCCTATTTTGACAATTTCCCTTGTAGCTGGAAATGAGAAGCACAAGAAAGGGACTCCAGCAAAGGAAAACAAAAGTAACTTTTAGTTTCTTATGCACACATATATGTATATGTAAACAAATGAGCTGCCCTGCTCAGGAAAGCCACTGTCACCATGAAATCTGACTGAAGTCATCCATCTCCCCAAGCTCTATTTGCTGTACAATACACACCAAATGAGTGCACGATCAAAGATGAAAAGATAAAAAGAACAGACATACTGAAAAGGACAGAATTCCTTGATCCAACTATCATCCAGGTGGATTATTAACGTTTATTTCAAGAACAGCCACAACAGCAGCACCATTCTTTTCTTACAGGCAAGTCAATTTGTTTATGAAATTTCTGTGACCTGCCTTCAACATCAGCATCTCTGTTTCTCAGGATTGCTGCATCTATTTCATGCCTTATGGCAAAGCCACAAGCTCAGTTAGCTTATTGAGCCTTTTTCCCCCCTCTCTATAAAACAAGGATATTACAAGATTTTGCCTTTTCCCTAGCATTTATCATTCTTCTGAAATCCTCAATACTGAAGATTTTACAGAAAATTAAAGGATATCAATCTTCTATTGCCAAAAAAAGGGAAGAGTCAAATGTCCACTACTCATTTCCTTTGCACTTTATTTATTCTTCTGTAACTAGGGATGAGGGATGGAAGGATACATCATCTCTGATGCTTCAACTCTCCTGGCCCTATTTCCAAGCTACTGCTAAGCCAGAAAAATACACATGTAAACTTAATATCTTCTTTCTGGACAAAAAAAAATGCCTACAATTTTCAAAAGATTTAATGAATTTTTCTAAAATGTTAAGAGAGTATCTTCTGAGAATTTTCTGAGTTCAACACCTAGGTTAGGCTATGTTGTGAAGAAATGACTAAGTTCATTTCTCCTTTAGCCTTCACCTGAGAAAGGCCTTTGTAAGAAATTAATGCCTCCAAAAGCATTTGTAAGAAATTTTAACTCTAGGATTTGTATTGTTTGTGCTTTGTCTAAAATATTGAATTGAAAATTAGAACTCTATGGTGAAAATATACAGCAAAAAACACATAGTGAAGATAAGAATCTATTGGTCAAGAGTCATAAAATCAGGATAGTTTTCCTTTGTGCAAAAGCACATAAAGGATTTCAAACCTATAATTTCTAAAAGGTATACTTAACACAGGATTTATTTTTAAGCAAGAATGCTGAAATTTTTATCTTCATTTTCTTTAAATAAAGGTGCTCTTCAAAAAAAGATGGGATGGAATTACAGGAGACATTCCATTGTAGGGTCTTTCACTATAGCTACTTTCACTTCTCATTACAAGAAAGGGCCCCAATTTAAACTTGCTTACAAGATGGAAACAATTTTCTTATTGTAAGAATTCTCTTTCATTACTTCCTCAAAGCCTTCATACTTCAATAATACAACATTCATCGTTGGAACACACTGTGCAAAGATGGTGACTATCCCTTTATTAATATTTTCATAGCTCTGAAAAGA